AATTCCTCTGGGTGCGTCTCTGTTGGAAGTTTGCCTCCCGTTGGGCTAAAATCCGAGCTCGGACGTCCGGTGGCATCCCATGACAGCAGGGTCTCTCCCGCGAAAGGCAGAGGCGGCAAGGCGTTCCGCTGCTCGCGTCCTGCTGAGGCGGCTCCCAACGCCGGGCGTCTCCTCCCTGAGGGGGTGTATTTGGCTTGGGCCACATACTGCTCCCACCGTCTGGTGCCGTCGAACCTGGAGAGGCTGTGAAGTACGTCGTGCGTGTCCCTGGGGGCGAGGGGAACGCGGGCGTCTCGACCGCCATCGCGAGCGGGCGCTCCGAGAAAACATCCACTTCCTCGAGGGGACCCGGTTCGGACGATTCTTCTGAGAGGAGCAGGCTACGCTGCTGGCGTCCTGTCCGGTGGCCCGAGCGGTCCCGGCTCCCTGCGGTTGCCGGGTAATTCTTTCCGCCCCGGTAGGCCGTTCCCATGCCCTCGGCGTACCGCGTTAGCTCCGTAAAAGCTATGCGGGGATGCGTCGTGAGGTGGTGACGCACCTGCGTACGAATTGTCGGGAGGAGGCCCTCTGCGAAGAGCGACTTGAGCCGATTATCGGAGAAGACATTTCCACAGCGGAGGGCTTTTCTCCAGAGACGGTCGCCATACTCTGTCTCGGACATCCCCGAACTCTGTATAAAGTTCGTTACCTCGGCGTAGGCTTCTGCGATGACTTCATTCGTCGCGTATGTCCTGAGGAGGTAATTGACGACCTCCGGATAGGACGACAACACTTCGTCCCTACGGGCGTCGGCTACACCAGACTCCCCCACGATACGGGTCTGCACCTTTGCCAGGGCCGTGCCAGTCATGAAGAACTGGAAGCACCAGAGGGCCGCTCCCTCATGCACGCCGTTCTGATTGCACGCCGCCGTAAACCTGGAGAGGAAATTTAGCACCGCAATCGGGTCGTCTCCGCTGAAGGTCACGCCCTTCATCTGAAGAGCCATCCGCTTCCCGGCCCTCGAAACCGTGCTGGCAACTTTGGCGTTGTATCGTCCCGAACGGTTGTGCAGCCGATACCGGCGGTAATCCATGACCTTTTTAAAGAGGTCGTTTAGGGGGCGAATCCGACGCACATGCCTCACGTCTACTTCGAAATCGTCCCCAGAGGAGTCTGTTTCGTCCCTCGTGGCATCACTAGCTTCCGATCCGTCGGTCTCGTATCCCTTGCTCTTGGTCTTTCTCCGGTACTTCTGCGTCGGCAGCACTACGCGACCGGCCCCGGGCGGAAACGCGGGTGGCTGTCTCATCTCTTGGGCTTGAAGTCGGCCATCGCGCTCTTCTCCATCCCACGGGGTCTCACGTCCCATATGAGGGTATTGCGGCCGCGCGTTCCCAAGCATCAGCGACGGCGGTAATACGTCCGTTGCCGCCAACGGCAGTCGCTCCGCCGGCGGCGCTCGAGCGCACACCTCTGCCCGGGTAACGTCCCCCACGGTTGACGTGATCGTGTCCCAAAAGGGGCCGCGTCCGACTACGTCGTCCACAGCGCTCCTGACGAGGGTCCGGCTGTGATCCTCAACGATCTTTCGGAGCGTGCTTGTCAATTGCGCCTCCACGGCAGCCGGGATTCGCTTGTCCAGCTCGGCCGTCAACCACGTGTTTAGGGCCGCCCTCTGAGTCAGGTCCCCTAGGTCCGGGTGGGCCTCTAAGGCGTCTCCGTGGATCGTCATCCTATTTGGACGTTCGTCGCCGATTATGGCGGGGGTCGGCTCGCCCTCTCCGCGTTGTCGGCCTTCGAGGGGCCCCTCCGCCGGCGTCGGTGGTAATGCCGCTCTGGTCTGCGATCGCGTCCTTGCGCGGGCCAAGCGCTCCACATGCGCCGCTCGTGCCTCGGCGCTTCTAACGGAGCCCGCGTTCTCCGTCGAGCCGTCCGTGCGACTTGGTTCGCCCAGCTGGGACCGATTTACTGACTCGTCGTCCCTTCCGTCTCGGGGGAAGCCCCCCTGCGATCTCGCGTCTTCTCGTCCACTCATCTTGAAACGAGGCGGTGATTCTCGATCCCTTCCAATCTCAGTCGTCCGATTCGGAAATCAATAAAAGAATCCTAGAAATAGATTTCTAGGTCGGGAGACCAGTTGTAATAATATGGATCCTTCCGGTTCGGTTTTTACCCCGTCACGGAGGGGGTGTCCACGGCAGCGGTAAAATTACAACACCACCAACCTCTCTTTGAGGGCGGCGGTTATGACTCCGGTAAACGGACGAGTGGAATTGCGACCCCGGAGGGGATAGGGCTCAATGGGCATACGCTTCCACCAGGCGGTGGAACGACCAAACTGGGGAGCGTGTGCTTCCGGCCCTCAAGAATAACCCGTGCGGGACGATCTGCCTCTTTCTCCTAAGTTCTCGCCCCGGGGGTCGCTACCCCCTTTTTACTCTGGGAGCGTACTGCCTCGGCCCCTAAGTACGTCGACCTCCGGCGACCGGGCAGTACAGTAGTGATCCACTTCTACTTTGGATCACTACAGTGGAGTACCTCTACTGTACTCCACCGGGGAGTAATCTGCACAGCAGCACACGTGGCTGGGCTCCTGCCACCTGTACTCGCAGGCAGAGCGCGCACCACGTGTGCTAGCTGGGACTCCCCTGGCTGACACTCCCATCACACTAATTTCTACGCCCCTACAGTAGGAACTACTAGTCTACTGTACCCGATCGGGACGTTATACGTACGGCGGTACACGTGGCCATTCCGCCGCCACCTGTCACCCGTGGCGGTACGTGCACCCCGTGTACAAGCTGAATTACCCCCTGCCTTTCCAATATCGTCTGATCACCCCTACGGGATCTCCCTCCGGGTCGTTACGTTTACCGACACCGGTCGGTACCCGTTCTCCCACAGTCGTGTTCTGCGGTCGCTTTGTTTGCGTGCGCTCTGCTTTGGGTTTTCTGGTATCTACGTGCAAAGCATTTTTCGGTACTGTGCGTGACACTACCGTGGAGGTGGCACCAGATGCCTGTGTATCTTTTGGGTTTGTCGTAGTGGCGTGGTATGGTTCTGGGTGTGGTGGTGCGTGGCGTTCTACTTGCCCTGGGGTGTTGTTCCCATGGTCTGACGGTTGCTGTTGTTGGTTCGTGTTGGGGTGTCGGCGTTTGTCTTTGGACCAGTTGCGCCTGCTGTATGTGATTTGTGAATTAACGGATGGTATTTGGGGGGTTGCATGCTAGCATGATTTCTAGGGTATGCATGTCCGGGTGTTGCGCCAGCCCCTGTACCATGTATCTGACGGTGGTTCTTTCGGCGTCGATATTTGGATATCCGGAGACCTGCATTCTGTGTCGGATGTCACAGTGGTTGTTGATGTAGTCCTTGAGGTTTTGTCCTGCCTTGTATTGGAGCGTGCGTGCTTCGGCGTCCAACAGTTCGTGGTTTTCGAGCGAGCATGTGTCTACGGCTTGTTTCAGAATTGTACATATCTGGTGTGGGTCGTATCTCAGTATATGCGGTGGGAGTAGCTGCACTACCCCTTCACTGAGGCTCTGCATGATAGCTTTCCTCATTTGATCCTTTTTCTGTTGTTGCGTGGCTTGCTCTGTTGGATCTAATATTGTTGTGATTGTCTTTGTGAGTTCGGCTTGTGCGCCGATCGTGCGCGCGTGAATTTCTAGACCATCATACCAGTATTGGAAGTTAGAGAGGGTTAGTGGTGGCAGGTTGCCCTGCGTCGTGTTCGTTCTCTCACGCATTTTTGGTGTGTTTGTTCTGTTGATCGGCGTGTTTCTGGATTTGGTTGTCGAGTCGGAGGGTTTCGCTGGTTTGTCCGGCGGGTTGTTGCAGTTCGGCTGGTATCCTTGTGCTGTTGCTCTTTAGTTTAACGTCTGCCTGTGATGCGGTTGGGATGGTGACGGATCGTGTTCAGTGGTTGCGTGTGGCCCATAACCTGTGATTCCATGAGCTCCGATGCCCCCGATCCTCTCAGGAGCGGGCGGCCGTCGGCGACTTTATTGTGCAAGTGTGTGGCGTGCCCTATTGGCGTTGCCTTATTTGTTAGCCTGTCTTACTTGCCTCTGGATGTAACCACAGCTTCCAATATAGGGATAGATATAGCCAAAAAGGCCAAATTTTTGGAGATAACCAGTCCGATAGGGATGAAAGAGGCTATGTATCTGGATACAGTATGCAAAACATTTACATATACACAGCACCGATAGGGGTGCTCTAAGGACGGATGGCAAGGCTACCACAGAGTAATACTGATCTGTTGACTTTCTACACGGTTACTCACCCGCATCTACTCCTTTGAACTGTTACAGTATCAACAGCGAAGTGGTCTTTGTGGAACATGCACACACGTTTGACTAGTGTCTAGGTGACAAATGGCCTCATATGAGGCCATTTGACCTCATATGAGGTCACTTTTCAACTTAATTTTTCTCGACTTGTGCTAGCTGAACAAAATGGAAAAAGATACTCTCGCCACCGCAGTTGACTTCTGCGCTGTGGAAGGGTGGAGCTTGGTGAGATCTGCACTTCCTTTCCAGGCTTTTTGAGAATACCTAAAGAAGAAGCTTTTTTAAAGAACATCAAAACGTTTTTTGTTGATATCTTCGAAACCAAAACGCCTGATTAAAATATCATCCGATTGTTGATACTATATTAGATTCTTAGTATTTCTGTGTATTCATAACTGCTATCCCGATGTTTTGCAGGAAGCTATTGCCGAGGGAATATTGGTTAAAGAAATGGTGTCTAAACTGATTTTATAAAATTTCGATTTAATGTATACTTTTTTGCAAAAAAAAACCCGGCCTCATATGAGGCCAAGCCTGACCTCATATGAGGCAAATTGCCGGTCGTCTAGACACTAGACCCAGATTACATTCATTCCTTGCAAGGGTTTATTCTATGGAGCGTGGGAGAGACTGGTCTTGCCTCTGTGACAAACACACAATATAGACAGCTTTCTATGCTCCTGCAAACTTGTTTAGAAATCAATTCACCTCTAGAGACCTTCTTCATTCCTCATCCACTACCGCACCCTCAACGTGCTTTGGAGATTCTAATGACACAATTCGGGAAGGCTTCTTCTCCTTGGGTGATCTCTTGGACCCTTTCGAATCTACCCGTCCTTTTTGTTCAGCTTGCATGGTAGTGTATACTTGAAGCGGCGATGCCGCGCCTTTCCGAGACTTTAGCTGCGAAAGGGTCTCGAAATCCCGCCCTGATTTTTGCCATCTAGGCGTGTTTTTTCGGAAAGGGCCCTCCAACAGCTCTCCTGATGTTCTCGGCGACGAGATGCGCACCTTTTCCGTCTTCTTCTGCAAAAATTCGAGGAAAGACTTCCCTGGAGAAACTAGACTACTTGCAACTTGTTCGTCTCCAGAGGAATGCGTCTGGCTTTGAGTGTTCTTGCGCTTGTCAATTTCCGCTTCAGGCAGATCAAAACTCGCCCCTCGCAATTTCGCCCGCGCGAGTCTAGCGCCGCGCGATAACAGTGCCTGTCCGTCAAAAGACCGTGATAAATGAAAGGGCTCTGATTTGGGGGACAGGGAGACTCCCTCGCCCGCATTTACCTGTATTGTAGTATCGTCACAAAGCGCTCCTGGCATCTCTCTGCGATTCCTTCTGGTGGGTCTGCGAAGATTCGTCTTGTTTTTAGAGCTGACCGTTAAAGTGTTCTTCTCTTCATCACTCTCCTTCGACAGCCGTCGACTGCCTCCTTTTAAATTATGAGATATCCATTCTTGCGACGGATAGTGCTCCGGACTCGACCGTTTGGATATGCTCACGGCGACGAGCCTGACGGCTTGACCCGGATTGTTTATGCGAGGTTCGACTGCTTGTTTCTGGACCTGGTTAGCTTCGTTCAACTTTATTTCCCCTCTGTCTTGGACCAGGGTCCTCGCGTGGCTGTTAGAATCGCGGCTTGCAGTGTCGTCGTAACAAGCTTGCAAATCGCTCTTCTCCTCTCGTTCTGGCGTTCTGGCCAAACTCTTTAGAGGATACCATGGTTGTGCTTCGTCAAGCTTCTTCAAGGCGACCGCAATGTCCCCTTCGATGTTGTCCTTATTTCCGATTTCATTCCAGATCTCATCATCTTTGTAATCCTCTTCCTGAGAATCCGCAGAGCCACCTTGCGATGACTCATTAGAATCGAGAGCCTTGAACTTTCGTGGGGTATTTGAACCAGACCTTTGTGATATGACCCTACAAAAGCGTCCAGCTGGTGACATTGGTACTTCTTCTCTTCCAGCGAATTGGGAGAACTGAAGCAAATTTCTCTCATCCGGAGAACGAACTTTTTCATCCCGCGACTTCAAGCCATGAAGAGGGAGTGGACGCCGCCCCATGGTCAGAAAAGGTGAGAACACAGCGTGCTAATTTGACTTGCGACTGCCCGCCTTCTATCTCCACCGAATACACACAAGTGCAATTCCCTTCATCAGCCAAAACCGAAAGCGTGGGGTCGTGCTTTTCACTCACTCGCATTTCCTGGAAAGCAGTTTCATCAAGGAACGAAGGTCCAGTCGTCTATCGTACTCTCCTTCTACAAGGCTCCGCAAAGAACGGCGTTCAATTTCTCATGCACAACAATTCTTTCTAGCCTGTAGAGAAGTCTCCAACTCCCACTCAGGTACCACAAAATATCTGATGGCCGAGGTTTACATAAGAAGCTCTTTCTCTTTCCTTGGTGAAATTTGCCAAATTCAGAAGTTGGCTGCCACGAAATCGCTATTCTAGACCAAAAGTGAAGTCATCGACTGACAAAAGGATGGACATGACTAGATGAACAAGGGCTGATTTCTTGTGGCTTGTGGATGAAGCGATGATTCAGTACGGAATGAGAACCACTAGTTCTGGTGGCTCTCAGAAGTCGCCCAGCATGCCAAAAGATGGTCTATTCTGGCACAGGTCGGCGGGTAGAGCGCAACTCCGAAGTCTCGTTCTGCGCTTCGTCCTTGGAAGTGGTCGAACAACGGAAGCCCGTAGCAACCAAATATCTTAAAAGCCCGGCTTACGTCATCCTCTGAATTGCATGAAAGGGAAGCCAACTCGCCTCTGTATCGAGTTCAACGCAGCATAAAAGTATCTGATCCAGGAAAGATCAACATAATTCATTTCCTACCATCGTGCCGGCGGAATGCGAAGAGAAAGCCATCTACGCAGCTCCTTTGAGCAACCTACCTTAGACATACCCATCGTCATGATACAATACAAGCCAAACTTCGTATCACTTTCAAGTGTAACTGCTTAAAAGAAAATGAACAAGTTCCGGTCCTGCTCCAATCGCACGAACACCAGCCTTTGCGAAACCCGTGCGCAGAGCAACCGGGGCAAAGAAAACATGGAAGAGGACGGACAAACATACCACCCCGCCCACGTATTGAGCCCATCTCCCAGTAATGTACTGGTGAACTTTTTTCTCCAGCACTGTTGCCAATCCGCATAACATGAAAAAGCAAAACCATTCGCCCCTGGAGTCATACACTCCACAATAGATCAGGATGATCTCGTGACATACACCCGAGACTATGAAACATGCCAATGTCGCTGATGCTCTCGACCACCCATGCAATCTGCGAAGTGGCTCATAGACCCCGATGCGAAGGGAATCAGAAACTGGGGCATTCCACCTTCCTGACCAAAAAGAACCCACGGAAGGCGAGAGAAGAGGTGCTCGGAATGGGCTCGGGCTCCTGACTCCGAATGCACCAAGTACGGCAGAAGTGAAGTTTAATGTACCTGTTGTGCTTGAGAGCACGAAAAACAAGCCAAAAGCATCAACAAACAAACCACCTTCATCTACTGCTCTCGCGACGTGACGACGAGACAGAGCTGCCACAGAAATGTAAGAAATTCCGCGCAACAACTGAACAGACGGCGATTCGAGCGGGTACTTCGGGTTCGGCAGTGATGCAGGGATTGCAATGCGAAGAATGATCTCGATATCACTAGTCTTTTCAGAAGGGCTGGAGGTCTTGCGTTGTACCCAAGCAGCTGCCTGAAGCGGTGAAGTGAAAACCATTGATACTGCCCCAATCATGCACCCGAGTAGGTGAGTTGACGGGTGGAAAATTGTGGAAGAGAGAAGAGTAAGGAATGTGATCCCTGCGAGGCAAACTGGGAGCTTGGCAGACTTGGAAAGACTAGAACGTATGATAGAAACGGTCCAATATCCAGTAAGGAGCTGGAGAAGAAATAAAGCCAAGAGGCCGCGACCAAGGTCCGCAAACCATAGAACGGGGTTTTCTTCAAGTTCATGCATTTTCGAAGATAGCCTTCTTCCTTTCCTAGTCCGTGTTCATAACACAACCCGCAGGGGCCCCTCTACGCGGATTCGCAAAAACGAAAAAGCGATTGGATAGAAGTTTGTGATCTTGTAATGGCGTGCAACGGAAGTTTTTGTGCTTGCACATGCATGTGTGTTGTGCCCGTGCTTGTGCAAGGTCGTGCAAGCACAATCTACACGAGCAAGAATAGGTCTTTGGAAAATGGGCGATTGTTCTCGAGTGCCAGCTTTTCTAGAAAAGGCTTTCTCCCACTTTCTATTTGGGATCACTTTGAGGATGTGTTTCAGACGTGGAATATGACTGGTCGAAAGGGGTTTTTATTAGTGCTGTACCGGTACCGTACCAAACGACATTCAGATTCAGGCAAGGTCATGGAATGTGTTTAGCACCGCTGTACTGTAGATACTGTACACTACACGCTGTACAGGGATTAGCCTTCGGCTCATCCACACGCTCACTCATCTGTTCCCAAAGTGCAATCCAGATCACTGTTCATGACTCCAGTGTGCGAAGCCAAGAAGTTTTATTGTTCTCTACAGGAAAGACCCTTGGCCCTCCGCGTCCTATCTGCCACTTGTGCTTCCACACGGTTTCGCCTGATGTGCTCGCGATCCATCTCGAGAAAATGCTCAACCTAGGCTTGGGCAAATGTTACGGCTACTTGTAGCATTTGAGGGCATCGCACTCTTCAATACCCTTTGCGCAGGTTGCGAAAGCATGGGCGAAAATTAGCGCACCCGTCCCAAGCCGGCAGCCCTTGCCTTGCAGGCGTGATACCGCGCGAAGAGCTCTGCATGCGTGCACAGCACATACCCTTCACAAATCGCAATGGCCCCTCACTTAGCACACTGCTGAAAGCCAAGCTCGCAATATGAAGGAAGCAATCTATCCCTCTTCCACGTACTGCTTGTGCTTCGTCAAGTACTCAACTTCGGCTGCTTCTTTCTTAACATTACGCTTGACAAAAGCCTCTCTATTCTGTACAATGCGATCCAACACTACTTGAACTGTAAGTTCACTTTCAGACTTGACCTTATGGAGAAGGTTCATCTGGCGGGGCACTTCGTACGGATCTACAAAGTTGTCCACGTACTTGCTATCTCCGCGATGACTACCATGAACCACAGCGGAAATGTTCATCGTCTTAATCATATCTTCCGAGATGCACCAAGGGGCCCCAATGATGACTTCGTCAACGTGCCGACAACTGAGAACCGCCAACGTACGCTCATGGACATTCATAATGGGAAAATTGCTACCCTTTCGCGCGTTGACGGTTGCGTCATCGTGAATGCCAACCAGTAAAAAGTCACCCTGCTCCCTTGCCTTGCGCAATGTCTCGATATGACCAGCATGGAACATGTCGAACGTTCCATCGCAGTAAACGACGCGATCCCCAGGTTTCGGCGCTCTGGTTTCGCCAGCGAACTGAATGAGGCGCCTAGTGGTGGGCAAAAATGAGCTCACTCTTGTGAAAGGCCTCCTCCGTGGAATGGATGACTGAACAATTGCTCCCTCGTCAGGATTGGGCGGGGCGCTGTTTGCATGCCGTGATGAAGAGTTGGCGAAATCGACATGATGATCCCTAGTGCAAAGTAGCATACGGCCGACGATGTCAGTAGAGCTGACGCCTTCGGTGCGCTTGACTGTTCTGAAGCGGCCCATTTGCTTGACAGCGCGATAAACATCTTGACCGTCGGCCCCAATACAAGGGTCGTCACCATGTACAATGATGTCAATCTTGTGTTTCTCGATGAGAGTCTTCAAAAATTCGGGAGTGACGACATATGGAACATCCGTGAGAACCTTATCGACCCATTTCACGCTGGAAACAGCAATGCGCCTCTCTTCATCAGTCATGACAGGAGGGCCCTTGTGTTTGCGGATCTCGACTTCTGGGTTAATACCGACGACAAGAACATCACCAAGGGCTTTCGCTTGACGCAGAGCGTTTGCATGGCCGAAGTGCATGGCATCGAAGCAACCATCCATGTAGACACGAACCGGTTCCTTCTTCTTTGGTGGTTGCGCGGGAAGGTTCGAAGGGGAAGATAACGCAGCAGTATTGTCTGTTGATCGTGCGGAAGGATTTTCCTTTTGCATTTGCTCTTTCTTGCGAAGGTCATCTTTTCGCACTTTGTGGGTAAAGTAGGTGCGACAGAAGCAATATAAGGTGCGAGCGGCTAGTGCGGCATCGACGAGATAGAAAAATGTGCCGAGATCACTTACGGGAGATGACTCGGACATTGCAGATGCTAGAGCTGGCGGGTCAAGTGGCGCAGTAGTAACAAGGCAACCGGCGACAGCGATAGTGATGAAACTCCTTGGCACTGCAAGAAGAAGTTTCGGATGTCAAGGTTTGAAAAGACGTGTTGCAATCCAGGGTCAATCAAGTGGAAAGTGTGCTGCAGAAACTGAAGCTAGTGGGGCGCGTAGACGTCCGGGCCGAAACGTGGTTTGAAGCGGGATCGCGATTGGAGAGGAAGGGAAGAGTCTGTTAAGTGTTTCTTCGGTACAGGGAGTCGCTTGAAAAATGTAGTGAGAAATATGGGCCAGTATGTAAAGTGCAGCAAGGGGAAGAATTCGGTAACGTTAAACAGCAGTTTATCGAGTGCACTTTCGATATGAGGCAGAGCGGTTGAGCACTGCCCCAAAAGAATCCAGAGCGTGGTTGGTAGATGTGGGTACCGCGGGTGGGTACAGGGGGGGTCTCCTCAATAGTTCGCTTTGCAACAGTGCACATGGCCAAATGTGCATCCCTTTCAGCGATGTCACAACTCTTGCCACGTGTACACCTGTGCACGTGGAGCCATGCCGATGTAGATGCACACAGCTGCGCTGCGGTTGACAACCACGGCCGGACACCCCGACCAACCATGGCGACCACCGCGACCACCGACCTATCACCAACAAGCGAGAAGCGACGTCAAATGCTCATATCGGAGCATTTTGTGGCCGGTGGGCTGTGACCTGCGGATGGACCTTTATTAGTTCGCGCTGTCAGTAGTGCGTATCTATAGCTGATGGCACGAGGGTGCACTATTGAGGGGTACCTACTGTATCTAGGGCAAGGCGGGAGGAAGGTGGCGAACGGACGAGACACAGCTGGCTCAAGAGAGAGCAACGTGGACAGGATGGGAGGTGGGGTTTTGGATGAATACTGATTGGCGCCTTGGATGTGCAAGCAAATGCGCATCGGGAGCACAGCTGATGAATTATACTGATGCATGCCGCTACCGGCCGGTGGCACGCCCCGAGAGAGAATTGGAGTTTCGCTACCTTGCAATTCCTTCATAAATTTCGCGTTTCCAGCCCTTCCATGATCCTGGCCACAGATTATTGGCTAACTTTATTTCCCCTGCTCCTCATTCGCGCCCGCTTGCTCATCTCATCGTGTCTTTAGTCACAAGGTTATGTTGATTGGAAGCCATTGGCTCTAGGCTCGAGCCAATGGCTTTCCTCGAGCCCGACGCGCTAAATCGCATAATATGCGTTAATTATATATAATAATAATACAAATATTATTTGCTTCGAATTTCCTGGAAAGATGCCGTCTTCCCAGACCATCTGGGCGTCACAAAGTCACGTACTGTACTTCTTTCCATCAGCACCGAGGTGCTTTCGGATTTTTCTGGATTTCATTTCGGTTTCCAGCTGGAAAATATCCGGAAAATATCTGTAGACCTCTTTATAACAAACCCGACTCCCAGACTTGAGAGCTGATCTGCCTGCACAACCCTCGTGAGCACAAAGCAAGTCAGAGTTCTCGACGGTCTCACAGAGCTCACTGACCACAAGTTTCCACTCGGCCTGTCACCTCCCCTCATGGATCGAGTCATCCTCTATGTATACATACTGTACCAAGGGTACTGCATAGAATTTGCTTTTTTCCTCCCGTCCTCGATGCGTGCATTGCAGGCCCGATTGGTTACAGCACCCACTCATGGTACAGGGGACCCTACCCATTAGTGCCGCCCCGTGCGAAACCCCAAAACTGGCACTATTAGGAGACGGCGCTAGCAGGTGACATCGTCACATCTATTTTCATTCACTCGGTAATTAACGTCTGCCTGCTCCGCGTCGGGTCTCTGTCGTGTTTTGCAGTGAGAAACGCGCGCATTGCCGACCTCAGATACAATAGAGCGTATGAAACTTGGTATTCAGTCGCCAAAACTTCCAGCTCTCCAAACAATTCCGCGATCCAACGACAGTGGGTACAATCCTTCTCTCTCTCGCGTCCTCTGCGCTCCCATCTTCATCACTTGATTGCGCGTTGCTTTTTTCATTTCCGGAACCGGATCCATAAGGAGGACAAGCTAAGGTCTGTGAGCGCTGTTCGGTGAATAGGATCGGGCTTAGTGTCTATTGGACATGTGACCTCATATGAGGTCACTTTTCAACTTCTTTTTTCTCGACTTGTGCCTTCTCAACAAGAAGGAAAAAGATACTCTTGCCACCGCAGTTGACTTTTGCGTTGCGGAAGAGTAGAGTTTGGTGAGATCCGCACGTCTTTTCCAGCCATTTTTAGAATGTCTACAAAAGAAGCCTTTTTGACCAATCTCAAAACGTTATGTGTTGATATCTTCGAAACCAAAACGTCTGTTTAAAATGTTAACAGACCATTGAAACTTCATTGGATTCTTAGTCTTTCTGTGTATTCACAACTGCTATCCCAATGTTTTGTAAAATGTTATTGCCGAGGGAATAAACGTTAAAGAAATAGCGTCCAAACTGACTTTATAAAGTTTCGATTTAATTTTTTTTTTGCAAAAAAAGAGGCAAACTGACGTCAAATAGACATTAGAAGCCGCTTTCACATGTTTTCACGCGCGACGGACGAAAGCTAGCATAACACGCGGACCCTTCAGGGCCAGTCCTAACAGGCGCTTTTCTTTTCTTTTGTTTTCCTTCAACCAGTTGCGGTCACGCTATTGGCCGGATCATTTCATTAAATTAATCGCACGCCACAACGAATGCTACACAGAACCACTGTAATGCTTGGTAATTCTGCGAACTGGTCGAAATCCATTGGCTAAAGGAAGTACCAATCCACACCCAGTCCATATGCACACTACTAAAATTCCATGGACTCGATGCGGTGAAGTGGCACTTGCAGTACAATGAAAGGGTGGAATTAAATCCAAATACGAGCACATGCAGATCAAAACATTAGTTCTCCCAACATTACAAACCAGACACAGTAAAGGGGGGGTTGTGCAACTGTTGAACAGCTGCATCAAATCTTGAACAAGCAAACTTTCCGCAAAAAACAACATTATTTTAACTAAATAGCTCATTCTCTTGCTATATGACATCACATTCGAGGTAATGACGTCAGTATCCCTCCAAAACCGGTGGATAACTTCAAAAACAAAACTGACCATCGGTCTTTTGGCGTTTTTTTACTTCGAGGGCGCGCTTTTCACAAGTATCATTTGACACAGTTCATAGATATAGGCCCAATACAGAGTAAAGTACTGATAACGACACATTTTGACTTCCCTTCCCTGCTCCTGTTTCATTTTACCTGCTTGTCTCGATTTCAGATCGACCCACACCGTTTGAGACACCACACAATGGGCACCGCTAGTGCGAAGCAACTGCGTGAACGGAAGATCAATAGCGCGATGCAAGCCATCAAACATGGCATGCCTTATCGCGAGGCATCGAAACTGTTCCATGTGCCAGTCGGGACCCTTCATTATCGTATGACCACCCCTCTGCAAAAGCCTGGACGGAAAACGGCACTGTCCAGGCCGCAAGAGAATGAAATTGTTGAGATGCTGCTGCGTTTTGCTCGCAGAGGATTGCCGCTGACGCAACACCATTTAAGAGAGGCCGTCTTGTTCGTGGTTTCCCGGCTTTCCCCGGGTGAGAGAGTAACATTGCCTTTCAAACATGGTTCCCGTAGCGACTTCCATCTGAGGGCTTTTCGAAGACGTCATGCTGCGCGGATCAAATTTGGAAGGCCGCTTTCCCAAGAGAGCAAACGGTTCGCTGTCGTCAACATGGAGTCTCTCACGACGCATTTTTCCACCGTCGAAAAGCTGGTAAATGAAAACGATATCGACGCAAGTCGAATTTTTAATTTGGACGAGGTTGGCATCTCTCCTAACAAGGATGCCAGCGGCCGCCTGGGTTGTAAAAGGATTTTACCCAGGCGCGGGAATCAAGACTTTGTCTGCCCTTCATTCAGATATGAAGACAGAGTAACGATGATGCCCGTTATAAATGCAGCCGGTGAAGCGGGGCCCCCATTGTTTGTCATAAAAGAAAAGCGCATGGCGTACAAACATGTGCTTCGAAATGGGAGGGTGTACGTCGATAGCCCTGCAAGCCATCTGCCTCGACGGTTAGTGCTTGCAACACGCATGGAGGGAGGCGGGGTGGACACAAAAAACTTTCTGTCATGGGCATATAGCTTTATCGAATTCACAAAGGACTTGCGAGGTGAAGGGCGGACGGTTATGCTAGTATACGACGGCTACCGCTCTCACTTATCGTTGCAGGTACTGGAAGCGTTCCACAAAAATCGCGTGATTGTCTATGCGCTCCCTTCCCACACTTCAAGAAAAACTCAGCCCCTCGACACAGTGCTGTTTGCAGCGTTCAAAGCAGCTCTGAACAATACCGCTCATGACTGTACAGGGTTTGGCAGAGACGGCAGTGTAGACATATTTGGTTTATGCAGTATCATACGTGAGAGTTACGACACTGCATTCACTAGGGAGAACATTAAGGCCTCGTTTCGTCGTTCTGGACTTTGGCTTGTCGATGCCAGACGTTTGCTTGGGGAACCGAGACCGGAGAGTGGTAAAAGAGATGCAGCTATTGTGGGAGTCGATGAGCTCACCGAATATTTTGAACACAAGAGAAACTCTATTCAAGCCAAAACTCTAGGCTCCGATGCCGTCGTTTTAGATTGTGGATATGTTTACACGACCAACGGATGTGTAATGACGTCAGCCAGGGTTTTGGAACTCGTGAGAAAAAAGAAAGAACAGGACAGAAAGAAGAGAGAAACGGAAGAACGAGTACGTTTAGGACGTGGGCTTCGAGCTGCTAAACGCCACACTAAGCTACGGAACGAAAGCACGAAATTGCGCGGGGCGCAATGTTTGCGAAGAGCGCACATGGCAGGTTTGACAGTGCAGGACTTTGCAAAGAGCGTCCGCTCCTTGAAGGAACGTCGTGCGATTGCGAAAATGAGAGTTCTTTCTAAGAGCAGAGCTCACCGCTAATGACGTGGCATCCGGATAATTCTCAAAAAAGTAAAATTCAGACGGGCCTTTTCTGATTTCTGTTCGATCATTAGGTTCGTTTCTACGGCAAATGAGGGGCTCAGACGATGCCAAAGATGTTGGTGTGGAATTTGTTTGGCTGATGGGTTTCGGTTGAGAGTTGGAATGGTTTACAGGCGCTTGACGCGCTATTAAACCATTTTAATTTATTTTAAAATTGAGGGACTTGCAGCGTTTAGACACGCTTCAAAGCGCCACCGTTCAATAATTAGCTTCCCCCCCCTTTACCTTCTCCCGCCATTTTATGTGCACAACTCGGCCCTCCCCCGCCTCGACGCCCACGTGAAATTTGCGACAGTCGTTTGCTACTGTAGCATTTTACACTCTGTTTAGGAAACGGAGCACCACCGGACGGCAGAAGGGTACCCAGAGTTCAGCACCCAGAGTTCAGCTTTTTGAAATCAAATGCCTCCTTGGCATCGATCATGAAATGGAGAGAAGCCGGGGAAGCTGCTCTCTAGTTCATGATCGATGATGAAGTGGCTTCGCCGAAATCCCTTTCCTGTGAACCACCCCGCCCTCGCTCCTTCCCCCCCGCCACCAACCCCCCTTCCCCCCCAAATATGACCACGTCCCCTCCTCCCCGCCACCCCCCTTCCCCTCAATATCCCCACGTCCCCTCCCCGCCACCCCCCCTTCCCCCCCAAAATCCCCACTTCCCCTCCTCCCCGCCACCCCTACCTCACTCCCGACCACCACGCCCCA